TTCTATAAATTTTTATCTAAAAGTGGTGTTTTTTTGGGGGGGAGGTGTGGCAGTGGTTGGTTGATTTTATTTTATTTTTATTTTTTGTCTTTTGAGACAGGCAGGGTCTCACTATATAGCACTGGCTGGCCTGCCTGGTACTTGCTATGTAGACCAGGCTATCTTTAAGAAATAAGAGTTGACTCATTATTAGCAGGACTGGGGAGATAGCTCAGTCTGTAAAATGTTTACTACACAAGCGAGTAAGCCTGAAGACCACCACCCCCCAATCACATGAAAAGGCTGGGTATGGTGGTGCATGCTTAAATCCCAATTGCTGGGGAGGCAGAGATGGGGGGAGGGAGGTTCCTGGTTCTCCTTGGCTGTCCTAGCTTAATTGGTGAGCTCAGGCCAGTGAGAGAGACACTTTCTATTTTGGATCATTTTTATAGTTAAAAAATATATGGTTATTGAGTTGCTTTGGATATAACTTTAAATTCTTCTATTCAAATAGTACGAATTGGAGCGATGTTGGCCTATACACCTCTGGATGAGAAAAGCCTTGCTTTATTACTGAATTATCTTCATGATTTCCTCAAGTAAGTTTAATTGAACTTAGAAGTAAGTATTTATATATTATATACTTAAAACTGTGTGATATGCCAGGCGTGGTGGTGCACACCTTTAATCCCAGTACTCGGGAGGCAGAGGCAGGCGGATCTCTGTGAGTTCAAGGCCAGCCTAGTCTATATAGTGAGTTCCAGGACAGCTGGGGCTACAGGGAGACCCTGTCTCAAAAAGACCCCCCCCCCAAAAAAAAAAACTGTGTGATAGGAAAAATTGGCACAAAAAATAACTAAAACAGGTACTGTTACTGGTATGGATGTCAATAAGACAGAACAATGTAAGTAAGCATATGTGAGAATTCAGAAAAGATGGAGTAGACATGCAGTTGCAGTAGGGGAAGTGGAGTGGGTAAGTCTCCAAACTGTTAAGATAATGAAGAAAAAATGTATGGTAATTTTGTAGTTTTACAGTCACATGTGTTAAAGGACTGGCATCTTTTAATCTGAAGAATTCTTACTTTCTAAGAAAAAGCTAATCAAATGTCTTGGAATATGCCTATTATGCCAGACTTGGGAAGTTAAGGCAGGATCATAAATTTGAGGGTAGCTGGGGCTACATAGCCAATCCTTATTCTAAAAAGAAAAAGGTAGAAAGATAAACTGCTAAATAAATAACAGGCCATAGGAGCAAAGAAATAGCAACTTAAAGGACATTGAGTTCTAGGCTGGCTAGCACTACATAGTGAGACCCTGTTTCCAAAAAGTCTAAACTATTGGGTATGGTGGCCTCACCTGTTATCTCAGCACTTGGGAGGCTGAGGCAGGAGGATCTTTGATTTTTGCAGTCAACCTGGGCTTCATAATGAGACCTATCCAAAAAAATGATGCCAAACAATATAGTAAAAATACCTTTTGACACGTTAGCTAAGTTTTAAACGATTGAAGATAAGTTGCTCTAAGTACACTGACAAGGAAAACTATTCCTCCGTTAGTTGAAGAAAACAGTTGTAGTAGAAGGAAATGCTATAATTCTCATTTGGAGAGAAACATTTACATCTGGAAAAGACTGAAATTTATTTCTAGAATATAGATAGTAGTTAACATAGTAGACTATTTCTTGGACTTTACTGTATTGGAATGAAGGGTTTTTTGAGTTGGTGATATATGACCTTGCTCTATCAGTGGTGTTTTCTCTGGATCCCAGGTTTGTTTGTTTTGTTTTATTTTTTTGTCTTTTTAAGACAAGAGTCCCCCTGTAGTTGCAGCTGGCCTTGCTGGCCTTGAACTCAGAGATTCACCTGCCCCTGCCTCTTGAGTGCTGGGGCTAAAGACATGAGCCACCACATCCTGCCCCAATTTCTCTCTCTCTCTCTCACTCTCTCTCTCTCTCTCTCTCTCTCTCTCTCTCTCTCTCTCTCTCTCTCTCTCATTTCCTCTCAATTCTCTCATTTCCTTCTCTCTCTCTCTCTCTCTCTAATGAAGTTTTTTGAAACAGGGTCTCCCTGTAGCCTGAGCTGGCCTGGAACTCACCGTGTAGACCAGGCTGGCCTTTAACTCACAGAGATCCACCTGCCTCTGCCTCCCAAGTGCTGGGATTAAAGGTGTGCGTAACTACGCCCAGCACAATTTCTTTTATGATACAGAAGTATATTACTGTTTCACATTTCATGCCCCTTTATTTCAAGTTTTAACTTGAGATTTACTTGTACACTTCTTGTACTGAATTGAACCGTTTACTCAGGTTGAAGACAACTGTTCTTTGTTATTTAGAAAAAGGAGCCAGGCATGGTGGTGCACGCCTTTAGTCCCAGCAAGTGGATCTATCTCTGTGAGTTCAAGGCCAGCCAGGTATACATAGTGAATTCCAGGCCAGCTGGGGCTACAGGGAGACCCTGTTTTAAGAAGAACCCCCACCTCCAAAAAAAAAAAAGAATTGTTAATGATGCGATTTTGCTCTGGGATAGTGATTCTTAGAGTATTTTAAGGAAGTGTTTTGTGGCTTCTGTATATATGTAAGAAGCGGTTTGTGTCAATTTTTAAAAATTTACCATGAAGTAACATTTTATTTTTAGATACCTGGCGAAGAATTCTGCAACTTTGTTTAGCGCCAGCGATTACGAAGTGGCGCCTCCTGAGTACCATCGGAAAGCTGTGTGAGCATTTGCTCTCACTGCTTGTGTTTGGATCAGTAAACACAGTTTGGTTCTTAGTCCTTCTCTTGTACAAACAATGTACTTTGAAGATGTTAGTGTAACAGAATTGCTGTTTGTTTTCTGTTTGATTTTAAACAGAGAAAATAAAAGGAGTCACTGCTCCTTTTCTCTTTTTTTCTCTTTTCTTTTTCTTCATTTCAAAATTTCTACCAGTGTACTCAGTGATGGACAACAGAGACATGCCGTAGAGCGTTTATTGCCTAGTTGACAAAGCTGCTTTTGAATGCTGGTGGTTCTGTTCCTTTGACACTACGCACTTTTATAATATGTGTTAATGCTATATGACAAAATGCTCTGATTCCTAGTGCCAAAGGTTCAATTCAGTGTATATAACTGAACACTCATCCATTTGTGCTCTTTTTTTTTTTTAAATGGTGCTTAAAGAGCCCATCCTTTGCAAGTCATCCATGTTGTTCTTTAGGCATTTTATCTTTGCTCAATTGTTGAAGAATGGTGGCTTGTTTCATGGTTTTTGTATTTGTGTCTAATGCACGTTTTAACACGATAGACGCAATGCATTGTGTAGCTACAGTTTTATGGAAAAGTAAATCTTGTAGGAGTTGTTTTTCAGATCTTCAATAAATGTTTTCTTTAAATTTCCAAGAGTGTGCTTATGTGGCTTTTATAAAAACTTGCATATATTTGTGTTTTGTGTGTGGGCACTTGCATACATTACACACATGTGGAGGGCAGAGAACAACTTGTGGGGAGTCAGTTTTCTACCATGTGTTTTCTTTTTTTAAAAAATTATTTTTATCTTTTATTTTAAAAACTTTTATTTATTATTTTTATTTTGTGTATGCATGTATTGCCTGCATGTAGGTAAGTGCACCCATGTCGTGCAATGTCCTTGGAGGTCAGAAGAGGCTGTCAGATCCCCTGGGACTGGAGTTACGGACAGTTGTTAGCTGCCATGTGGGCGCTGGGATTCAAACCCGGGTCTTATGCAAGAACAACCAATGTTCTTTACTGCTGAGCCATCTCTCTCCAGCCCATCTATCATGTGTTTTCAAGAGATCAGATATGTCAGGCTTGGTGGCAGACCTTACTGCTTATCTTTCTGACTCAGGCCTATCTTAACAGACAGTTGAAACCTGTAAAGAGCTTTTGTTCATATGTTCATGTTGTATTTATTGATGTTAACATGTTAGAAACTAAAACAATTTAAAACTTAAGAATACAAGGCCAGGTATGGTGGCACATAACTTTAATCCCAGCACTTAGGAGGCTGAGGCAGGTAGATCTCTGTGAGTTTGAGGCTAGCCTGGTCTACATAGTGAGCTCCAGGCCAGCTGGGGCTACAGGGAGACCCTGTTTTTTTTTTTTTTAAGACCAAACAAAAAAACCCCTTAAGGAATACAGAAGTCAGAAGTACATGGTCATCAAAAGAAATCTTTAACCTCTGTAAAATTTCATGTCATTATACTATATTTTACATAGAACTATGTCAACATTACAGTTACTTCAATAAAACAGTCTGACTCTTAAATTTAGCTTTTTAAAGAGTGGGCCTGAACATGGAGGATGTAGCAGACAACTCTCCTTAACTCTAGTTGGGATTTGATACCCTCTTCTGGCCTCCATGGGCATTATACACTTACATACATACACTTTATATTCATGTAGGCTGAACATTCATACACAAAATTATTTTTTTAACTTTTATGTGTATGAGTGTTTTGCTTGCGTGTATGTAAGTGCATCTGTGTGGTGCAATGCCTGCAGAGGTCAGAAGACTGTGTCAAATTCCCCTGGAACTGGAGTTGTGAACAGTTTAGATGCCATGTGGGTGCTGGGAAATGAACCCTGGTCCTCTGCAAGAATAGGAGGCAGAGAATAGGAGACAAGAGGCGGGTGGATCTCTCTGAATTCAAGGCCAGTCTACATAGTGAGTTCCAGGACAGCTGGGGTTACAGGGAGACCCTGTCTCAAAAAGACTTAAAAAAAAAAAAAAAAAGGCTGGAGAGATGGCTCAGTTGTTAAGAACACTTTTTGCAGAAGACCCGGGTTTGAATCCCAGCACCCACATGGCAGCTAACAACTATCTGTAACTCCATTCCCAGGGGATCTGACAGCCTCTTCTGACTTCCTCTGGCATTGCACAACACAGGTTCACCTACCCACTACATGCAGGCGATACACGCATACACATAAAATAATAGAATTTTAAAAATTTTTTAAAAAGAAATGTAGCCAAGCAAGCCAGTAAGCACTGTTTTTCCCTGGTCTCTGCTTCAGTTCCAGGTTCCTGCTTTGAGCTCCTGCCCTGACTTCCCTCAATGATGGATTGTGACCTGTAAGCTGAAATTGGGCCTTCCTTCACCCAAGTTGTTTTTGGTCAGTGTTACCACAGCAACAGAAAAACTAGGACCCTTAACCTTAGGACAGTGTAACAGACTGTAAATGGAAAGAGTTTACACTTCAGAATAACTAGATGAAATATAAACAGAAAAAGACTCAGAAATCTGAAAACCCCAGTTTACTCTGAGATTGCTTAGGAAGTAAACATAAAACATCTACTTGGAGCATTGGAGAGCTAAAATGGTGGAGTTTTAAGGGGCCAGTATCAGGAAGAACAGTCCTGGGGATGTAAAGCTATGTTTAGTGCTGCTTTATGAGGCTGATGCTCCACACTTATGTAGAAAATCCTCTAAAGCAGATTATGGTGGTGTATGCAGGGAAAAATCCTGTCTTTAAGAAATGTCATTCTGCCCAGCGTGGTGGCGCATGCCTTTAATCCCAGCACTTGGGAGGCAGAGGCAGGTGGATCTCTGTGAGTTCAAGGCCAGCCTGGTCTACATAGTTCCAGGACAGCTGGGGCTACAGGGAGACCCTGTCTTAAAAAGACCGGCGTGTGTGTGTGTGGGGGGCCTTTAATCCCAGCACTTGGGAGGCAGAGGCAGGTGGATCTCCATGAGTTCAAGGACAGCCTGGTCTACATAGCGAGTTCCAGGCCAGCTAGGGCTACAGGGAGACCCTGTCTCAAAAAGACCAAAAAAGAGAAATGCCATTCTGACATTAATGTAAGACATTTTAAGATATACTCTTTATATTCAAAGGTGATAATTTAGAATTTAACCCACAAGGTTAAAACTAAGGTGGTATAGACTCAAGCTGGGCATGGAGACTCACTCCTGCACACCTGTAATCCAGCATTCTGGAGGCGGAAGCAGGAGAATCAAGTTCAAGATTGAGGACTATAGAGATGACTTCAGCAGTTAGGAGCACTGGCTGCTTTTGGAGAAGACGGGTTCAGTTCCCATATGGCAGCTCATAACTAACTCCAGTTCCAGGGGATCCATGCCCTTTTCTGGGCTCTGTTAGGCATGAGGCACATACATACATGCATACACAAATACATATAAACTAAAAATAAATTTAAAAAGTTTAAGGTCATTCTTATCTACACAATCAAGTTAGTTGCTAGTCTAGGATATCTCCAATAATCAAGACAAATTCAAAACAGAGCAGCAACAACACATAAAAACTCCATTACTGGAGTTAATAGATTAGACAAAGTAAAGTTGGGTCATAGGTCAAGGTGAATTCCATGCAAGGACACAAAGGAGGGAAGAAAGGGACAGAAGATGCAGTGATGTAATGTCTTTGAGGTCATCAATGTAGATGAGCAGGAGAGATTGGCACAGCAGCTGAAAATTGCTGGTGACTTCGTAGGGCTGGTGAGAATCTCAGGTGTAAAGATTGAAGAAACCCTGTGAACCTCAAATACAACCAAAACTTCAAATTTTAAAACCTAACAACATCCTAAACCTAAAATATCCTAGTTCAAAAGCCCCAAAACTGACAGTGCAAATAATAAAGTTTGGGTGACAAGAAGCTTGAAAGTTGAAAGAAAATAACTGCAACTTTTAACTCTGAAATCCTTCACAAAATAAAACACTTGCAGAAAAAGCTGGAAAAAAAGTCAGAAAATTTACTAGCAAACCCAAACCATGAAAAAAAAAGTACTTTATATAGAAAGTGAGCGATGGATGACACGGAGAAGCAAGGCATGGCTAAAATTAAACATGAGTAAGTATCGTTTTCTTGAGTTTGTTCTAGGAGTAATTAATTCTGTGATAATGGTGATGCTTAAAGCTGTCATCCTGGAAGAAGGCAACCTGGAAAGCATGATGATGCTGCTTGAGGTAAAGGCACTTCACAGGCATGGAAGCCTGAGTCCAATCCACTGACTCCACAGAGGCAGAAGGAAAGAACTGATTCCACAAAGTTGTCCTCTGGACTGCATGTATCTGCTGTCCATGCACGTATACATACTAAATAAATTTTTAAAATGAACACAGGGCAAGTCAGAATAATTAGTAAGATGGTGTCTAGCTATATCATTAATATAAATGGGTAATTGCTCCCATTATAAAATATTGACAAACTAGTTAATAAAATTGAGCAGTTTGCTACTTCTGAGGGGCTGGAGAGATGGCTCAGTGGTTGATAGCCCTGACTGCTCTTTCATCGGACCCAGGTTCAATTCCTAGCACCCACATTGCTGCTAACAACTGTGTAACTCCGGTTCCAGGGGAATCCGATGCCTCTTTTGACCTCCACAGGCATTACATGACTCAAGTGCACTCAATGCAGGCAATCACATAAAAATAAAATACTTAAAAAATTTTGATTCATATATGTGTGATTCATGTGTAGGTGTGTGGGTGTCTGTGGAGGTCAGAAGAGGGCTTTGGATCCCCTGGAGCTGGAATTAGAGTTGGTTGTGAATCACATGACACAGGGACTGGGAACAGAACCAGTGTCCTCTGCAAAGGCAGCATGTGCTCTTAACTGCTGAGCCATCTCTCCAGCCCCTCTATTTTCTTTTTTAAATACTCTATTATTATTTATTTTTTGTCTTTTTGAGACAGGGTCTCCTTGTAGCCCCAGCTGTCCTGGAACTCACTATGTAGACCAGGCTGGCCTTGAACTCACAAAGATCCTCCTGCCTCTGCCTCCCAAGTTTTGGGATTAAAGGTGTGAGCCACCACGCCCAGCCCTATTTATTATTTTTATATGTATGAGTGTATTGCCTGCATGTATGTGAGTGCACCCATGTCCTACAATGCCTTGGAAGTCAGAAGAGGGTTTCGGGGGGCTGGAGAGATGGCTCAGCAGTTAAGAGCCCTGACTGCTCTTGCAGAGGACCCAGGTTCGATTCCCAGCACCCACATGGCAGCTATGAACCATCCTTAATTTTAGTTCCGGGGGAATCTGAAGCCCTAAAAGTGAACAGTAAAGCAAAGATCAAAGTAAAGCATTGATGGAGAACTCACCAAGGATCCAGCTAAAAAGCAGCTGATGACTGCTGACGTTCAAAGACACAAAAATGGCCCTGGAATAAAGTAACTCCAACAGCTGCTGGAAACTTCTATCACTCCTCATTTGAGGGCAGCTTGCTGTGAGTGGTATACACTCCAAGATATATCTTTTGTCCCTTTGTGATAGGCTTCCACTGCAATAAGCCGTTTAGCCACCTATACTAAATAAGTCAATTAAAAGATCCAAATTGGGGGCTGGAGAGATGGCTCAGCAGTTAAGAACACTGGTTGTTCTTGCAGAAGACCCGTCTTCTGTCCTCTGTGGGCATTGCATGACATGGGTGCACTCACATACATGCAGGCAATACACTCATACACATAAAATAAAAATAAAGAATATATTTTTAAAAAGATCCAAATTAATAGAAAACCCCAGGAAAAGGAGATCTATTTAATGTGGACACATTGGGAAGAGAGGCAAAGAGATCCAGGGGCTTCCAAAGTTCATACTCATGACATAGGTTTTTGTTTGTTTTTGAGACAGGGTCTCCCTGTAGTCCTAGCTGCCCTGGAACTTGTTATGTAGACCAGGCTGGCCTTGAACTCAAAGATTCCCCTGCCTCTGCCTTCCAAGTGCTGGGACTAAAGGCGTTCTAGTTATGGGCTGGACTTGCAAAAATTTTTTTTTTTTTTTTTTTTTTTTTTTTTTTGTGGCTCAAGTGATCTTTCTGCTTATCCCTGCTAGGTAACCACAATTTACAGCCACATAATACCACTGCATTGGGTATATGTACTATTTTTAAAATTGCACTTATTGTGTGTGTGTGCACATTGGAAAGTCAGAGGACAGCTTGCAAGAATCAATTCTATCAAACAGCAAACACCTTTACCCATTGAGCCATCTTGTTGCCATATATATACCCTGAAACTTTCTACGCAGAAACTTTCTATGTAGATCAGGCTGGCCTGGATCTCACAGAGAACCGCCTGCCTCTGCCTCCCAAGTGCTGGGATCAAAAGTGTGTACCACCACACCCAACTATCTATATCTATCATCATCATCTATATCATCTGTATATATACATATATATATATAATTTCATTGGTCAAAGAAATCACAAAGTTTGTTGAGATTCAAGCATAAGGGACAAACGTTACTTCTCAGTGAGTCTTCATGGGGCAATGTCAGCGTTTGAGGTCAACCATGATCACAGGTGGAATCCCAACAAAACAGTATTGATGGAGTAGACTATTTTGACCTGCTGAAATTGAAGGGAGAGGAATGTTACGGTACCTCATGAATATCCTGGGCAGTCAGAAGTATTTAAATATTTTCTTAAAGCTTTTTTTGTGAGTTTAATTAGGGTTCATTACAGCAACATAGGGCAACTTTCTAGTGGCTCCTGGTAAGAAAATGTCTCTCCCTTGCCCAGTGCCATTTACTGCCTTTAGATCCTCAGGGAAGGAAGGGGCTTTATGAGCCTCCCTCCCCTGCTCCATGATGGACCATCAGTGGTCCCAGTTTGGTGCAGGTCTTGTGCAGGAAGTCATAGCTGTTCCTGAGTGCAGTGGCCGTGCCCTGTCCAGAAGACATGACTCCTTCCTCCAGCTCTTACCTTCTTCCCAATCCTTTTTCTGCAGTGTTCCCTGAGCCTTGGAGGAGGTTACATAGATGTCCTATTTAAGGCGGAGTGAGTCAACAGCCAATTATTTTCAGCACGATGACCAGTTATGAGTCTCTGCAGTTGCTATTTCCCACTGCAAAAAGTTTTTCAGCCAAAGCTAACAGTAGTACTAATCCATGGCACAAACGTAAACATTGAAGGCAGTTTGATGGGCACATGTCAATTTATCAAAGCAACAGTAATAGCTTCCCTGCTGGACCTGTGATCTTGCCAGACTTGGGCTTTTGACTAGGTTTACAGTGCCATTGAAAAAACTAGTGTGTTTGTGTGTGTGCACATGCATATGCAGGTGCCTGTGTGCCATGGTACATGAGAATAACTCAGGGTGGGGTATCTCTCCTTTCACCTTGTGGGATGGGGGTTGAACTCATGTCAAGCCTGGTTGCCAGTGTCTACCCACAGACATTCTGCCAGCCCCAACACCAGTTTTTCAAGCTTTTTAAAAGGAATTTCTGAAATGCAGAAAGAATCTGAACTAATTTTTGTGTGTGGGGGACAGTTTCCTTAGGGTTTTGCTGTGCGGCTCTGACTGGCCTGGAATTCACTGTGGACCAGGCTGGCCTTGAACTTTCAATGATCCTCCTGCCTCTGCCTGCTGTGCCGGGATTCCAGGAATACACCATAACATCAACCTGGAAAGACCCCTAGAGGGAATGCCTCTGAATGTCCAGCTTTCAAATTCAGCCCCTTGCAAGTGTGGGGTCATCTTGGCCTTTTGGGGGATTATTTTACATGTATGAGTGTATTACCTGCATGTAGTAAGTGCACGCATGTTGTGCAATGCCCGAAGAGAACAGAAGAGGGCGTCGGATCCCCTGGAACTGGAATTACAGACGGTTGTTAGCTAACGTGTGTGCTGTGATTTGAACCTGGGTCTTCTGCAAGAGAAGCCACTAACTTAACTGCTGAGCCATTTCTCCAGCTCCCATCTTGGTCTTTATAGATTCTTGGCTTTTTTTTTTTTTTTTTGAGACAGGGTTTCACTATGCAGCCCTCACTGGTTTGCAACTTGCTATGTAAAATAGGCTGATCTTCAATTTACAGAGTTAGGGGGCCTTATCTGCCTCCTAAATGCTGGGATTAAAAACATGTGCCACCATGCTCAGCTTGGTTAGCTTTTGTTATATGGTTTTTCTAAAAAATAAATTTAAAAATTTCTTAAAATTATTTTTTAAATTATTTTTGATTTTGAGAGAGGGTCTTCCTGTAGTCCCAGCTGGCCTGGAACTATGTAGACCAGACTGGCCTTGAACTACACCCAAGCGCTGGGATTAAAGGTGTGCATCACCTCGACCAACAGTTTATACCTTATTTTTGTTTTCTTGTCTACCTTATTTTTTTAAATTTGACATTTTATGTGTGTGAGTGTTTTGTCTGCATGTTTTGCCTGTAAGTGCACATGTGCAGTGCCCACAGAGAGCAGAGGGTGTCTTCTGGGACTGGAGTTAGGGAAGGTTGTTAGCTGCCATGTGGGTGTGGTGAACCAAACCTGGGTCCTCTGCAAAAGCAGCCAGTACTCTTAACTGGTGAATTATCTCCATGATCCTCACTACCTTATTTTTGAAGACAGTCTCTCACTCAGCCTGAAACACGCTTTTTCAGCTAGGCTTGCTGACCAATGAGCTCCCAGGCGCTGCCTGTCTCTGCCTCCCAATACTGGGGTTACAAACACATGTGGCTTTACTTTTATTAGAGTGCTGG